AAAAAAAAAAAAAAAGGCAGAGGGTGGAACCTGTGGCCCAGTGAATAGCCACAGCCCAGGTCAACTACAACTGGAAAAATAGCCGGGCACTGTAGGGGGCAGTTGTAGTCCTAGCTACTCGAGAGGAAGAGGCAAGAGAATTGCCTAAACCCAAGAGCTGGAGGTTGCTGTTGAGCTGTGAAACAAGGCACTCTACTGAGGGCGACATAGTGAGAATCTGTCTCTAAGGAAAAAAATAAAAATGAAAGAAACATTACACTTAATGTACTTTCTTGCTTTACATATCCTATTAAAGTGAGCATTAAGGGAATGCAGTATTTTAATCACTACTCTGCCAGTACTTTTACCTAGAGCAGGGGTCCTCAAACATTTTAAACAGGGGCAGTTCACTGTCCCTCAGATCATGGAGGGCCAGACTGCAGGCGCCAGGTTGAGTCAGCTGCTAAGCAGGACAGGCAGTGGTGGCAAAAACACCCAACAGGCCGGATAAATGTCCTCGGTAGGCCGCATGTAGCCCACAGGCCGTAGTTTGAGGACGCCTGACCTAGAGGCTTATTGACATTTTTGTCTTCTATCAAGTTTTTGTCCCAAGAAAGGCAGGATTAGACTCCTTCCTAACAAACGGACATAGTATAGTATATTCTTGGTTAACAAAATACTCAGAGTTTTAGAATTTTCAATAATGTGCAATCTCAATCCTAGAAAACTGGACGTTTGTATGTATACTTGGGATCGAGAAAGACATTATAAACTTCTTGTGATACTAGATGACTTTGTTCTTTGCATCCTGTTTTCTAGTTTTATAAACTACGTATATTCACTTAAATAAATAAAAAGGTCATTGTAAAAACTTGAGGAAAAAAAGAGCATATGAAACACTGGGGCCCAGCCACGGTGGCAGGATTGCCTTACCTCAGGAGTTCAGACCAGAGTGAGCAAGAGCTCATCTCTACTAAACTAAAAAACAAGCCAGGCATTCCAGCAGTGTCTGTACTCCCAGCTACTCAGAAGGCTGATGCAAGAGAATTGCTTAAGCCCAAGACTTTAAGGTTGCTGTGAACTACAATACCATGGCACTCTACTCAGGGAGATAGAGTTAAGACTGTCTCAAGGAAAGAAAGAAAACAAAAACACACTGGAAGGCAAAGAGGAAGGTCGTCGTTTCAGGGTGGGAATTCCAGACCATCCTGGAGAACTGAAAACCTTCCTCTACAAAAACTAGTAGCAAAATACCTGCATTCCACTCATGGAAAACATGAGCCCTGTATATTAAAAACTAAAACAGACTAAGGGCAGGGCACTTGGCTGATGCCTGTAATCCTTTTACTTTGGGAGGCTGAGGAAGGTGAATTTTGTGAGCTAAGGAGTTTTGAGACCAGCCTGAGTCAGAATGAGACCTCATCTCTTTAAATAAATAAATAAATAAATAAATAAAAACCCCACCAAAGCCAAGAGTTGTGGTGGGCGCATGTAGTCCCAACTACTTGGGAGGCTGAGGCAAAATAATCTCTTAACCCTAAGAGCTTGAGGTTGCTGCAATAACATTGTACTCTACCAAGGGTAACAAAGTGAGAGTTCTCTCTCAAATAAATAAATGAATTACAGTCAGAACATTGTCTCTAATGTAGTTTATGAATTTGTGTAACTTGAAATTAAATGTTTTACTATCTTTCAAATGATACCAGACCATGTATCACACCATTTCATAGAAAATGCTAAATAATATGTTGTAAATTAAAGTTATTGTATGACATATAACTTATCAAAATAACAGGGAAAAACCCTACATTTATACTTGATTTAGCATATTAGAAACATGATTTATAGGGCGGCACCTGTGGCTCAGTGGGTAGGGCACTGGCCCTATATACTGAAGGTGGTGAGTTCGAACCTGGTCTCAGACAAACTCCAACAAAAAAATAGCTGGTGGCTCGGCGCCTATAGCTCAACCGGCTAAGGCGCCAGCCACGTACACCTAAGGTGGCGGGTTCGAATCCCCAGCCCGGACCCGCCAAACAACAATGACGGCTGCAACCAAAAAATAGCCGGGCGTTGTGGCGGGCGCCTGTGGTCCCAGCTACTTGGGAGGCGGAGGCAGGAGACTCGCTTGAGCCCAGGAGTTGGAGGTTGCTGTGAGCTGTAATGCCATGGCACTCTACCCAGGGGGACAGCTTGAGGCTCTGTCTCAAAAAAAAAAATAAAAAAAAAAAATAGCTGGGTCTTGTGGCAGGCACCTGTCATAGCTACTCGGGGGGTTGAGGCAAGACAATTGCTTAAGCCCAAAGGTTTAAAGTTCTTGTGAATTGTGACCCCACCACACTACCAAGGGCCACACAGTAAGACTCTTGTCTCAAAAAAAAAAAAAAAAAAAAACCCAGAAGAAATCTTCAACAAATTGAACATTTCTTAAAATGCTCCGAAGAAGAATCTCTTCCTAAGAAAGTGTTCAGTGACTGGATACATTTCAGAAGAATTTCCCTTAAGATAGGTTGAGTAGTCCAGGCTCAGTGGCTCACATCTGTAATCGTACTAGCACTCTGGGAGGCCAATGCTGGCAGATTCCTTGAGCTCAGGAATTTGAGACCAGCCTGAGTAAGAGTGAGACCTCGTCTGTAGTGAGACCTCGTCTAAAACAGAAAAACTAGCTGGGCATCGTGGTGGTATCTGTGATCCCAGCTACTTGGGAGGCTGAGGCAATAGGATGGCTTGGACCTAAGAGTTTGAAGTTGCTATGAACTATGATTCCAGGACAATCCACCCAGTGTAACACAGTGAAACTGGTCGTTTAAAAAAACAAACAAACACTTTTCTAATCTTACACCAACACAGCTAGGAATTTCCAAGTTGGCTGAGTACCTGTTATGCCAGGACTTTGTGAGAACGATGTGGGAAGATGCCATGAAGTCAGGAGTTTAAGAAGAGCCTTACTACTAAAGACCCTCTCTCTAGTAAAAGAAGAAAAATTAGCAGAAAGTTGTGGCACAGGCCTATAGCCTTAGCTACTTGGGAGGCAGAGGCAAGAAGATTTTTAAAGTCTAAGAATTTGAGCTGCAGTAAGCTGACAACAGGGCCACTGGACTCCAACCTGGGCTACAGAAGGGGATACTGCCTTAAAAAAAAAAGAAAAAAATTCTAAAGCTAAAAATGTAGAGAGGATACACTGGTATTGGTACACGGATAACAACTTTCATTAAAAACTTAGGGAAAAAAAAAAAAATAGCTGGGATTGTGGTGGGCACCTGTAGTCCCAGCTACTCGGGAGGCTGAGGCAAGAGAATCACCTAAGCCCAAGAGCTGGAGGTTACTGTGAGCTGTGTGACAGCACAGCACTCTATCAAGGGCGACAAAGTGAGACTGTCTCTACCAAAACAAAAAAACAAACTTAGAAATATGGCTTGGCACCCATCACACAGTGGTTACGGCGCCAGCCATACCAGCTACTTAGGAGGATAAATCAAGAGAATTGCTTAAGCCCAAGAGTTTGAGGTTGCTGTGAGCTGTGATGCCACAGCATTCTAATGAGAACAATAGCTTGAGACTCTGTCTCAAAAATTAGTTAGGAAAAAAAAAAGGTATGGCACCTGTAGCTCAAGCAGCTAAGGCACCAGCCACATTACAGCAGAGCTGGCGGGTTCAAATCCAGTCCGGGCCTGCCAAACTACAATGACAACTACAACTTAGAAAACTTAGAAAAAAAAAGTTAGAAATATACCACCATATAAATGTAGCCTAAGAAAATAGTATTGTGCATGAAAATTTCATTTTTACTGTTTTTTTTATTGAATCAAAGCTGTGTACATTAATGGAATCATGGGGTACAATGTACTGGTTTTACATACAATTTGAAATGCCTTCATCAAAATGGTCAACATAGCCTTCACCGCATTTTCTCACTTACTGTGTTAAGACATTTATATTCTACAACTAGTAAATTTCACATGTACCCTTATAAGAGATGCACCATAGGTATGAAAATTATTTTAAAAGGATCAAAACTGTTGGACTGTTTCTATTATGAAACATGGGAAAATGTCTTAATTTGCTAGCTTAGACAAATTGAAAATTACACCTTTTATAATATACTTTTGAACTTTTTGAGACAGAGCCTCAAGCTGTCCCCCTGGGTAGAGTGCTGTGGCATAGCTCACAGCATCCTCCAACTCCTGGGCTCAAGCAAGTCTCCTGCCTCAGCCTCCCAAGTTGCTGGGACCACAGGCACCCGCCACAACACCTGGCTATTTTTTTTTTTGGTTGCAGCCATCATTGTTGTTTGGTGGGCCTGGGCTGGATTCGAACCCGCCACCTTAGGTGTATGTGGCTGGCGCTATACTTTTCAAATAGACCGAAGTAGGTAAGTAGGTTACTTACGTTTGAGGGTTAAACATATTAGAAAGCTGGAAACATTGTGTAGCAAGTGGCTGGACAGAGGCAGCTGCAGCTAAAGCTGAAGCTAAAGAAGGAAAAAAAAAAAAAAAAAGAGAGAAAGAGAAATTAGTTTCTTGAAAAATAATTCAAAACAAACCCAGAAAACCCATCCCAAGTCTATAAGTAGAATACCATTCCCTTGACTAACTTTTATTAATACCATCAATATAATCAATACTCTGTTACAGTACAAAGAAAACTGAGGAAAAACCTAACATGTGTATTTGAAACAAATACTTAAAAATTTGGAGGTACTATTTTTAGAAGGCAAGTGAAAATTTGTCTTATTCCAATTAACACACATCACCCCTTGAACACAAAAGATAAATGAGAATAACAGATTCTGAGGACTAGGCAAAACGGATCACACCTGTACTCTGGAATTCTGAGAGGCAGAGGTGGGTTTCAGACCAACCTGAGCCAGACCAAGTCCTGGTATTTAAAAATAGCCGCGCAGGTGGCACCTGTGGCTCAAAGAGTAAGGCGCTGGTCCCATATATACCTGAGGTTGTGGGTTCAAACCCGGCCCCAGCCAAAAACTGCAAAAACAAAACAAAACAATAACAAAAAAAAAAAAAAAAAAACACAGAGCCTGCCAAACAACGACAACTACAACCAAAAAATAGCCGAGCATTGTGGCAGGTGCCTGTAGTCACAACTACTTGGGAGGCTGAGGCAAGAGAATCACTTGAACCCAGGAGCTGGAGGTTGATGCGAGCTGTGATGCCAGCTAAGGTTGATGCGAGCTGTGATGCCATTGCACTCTACACAGGGCGACAGCTTGAGGCTCTTGTCTCAAAAAAATAAATAAATAAATATAGCCCGGCACTGTGGTGGGTGCCTGTATTCCCAGCTGGCTGGCAGGCTGAGGCAAGGGAACTGCTTTAGCCCAAAGTATGAGGTTGCTATGAGCCGTGATGCCATGGTAGTCTATCGAGGGTGACAAAGTGAGACTGTCTTAAAAAAAAAAAAAGAAAGAAAGAAAACTGATTCTGTATGACTGCTAACATCTACGGCATAAGAATTGAGGTGACGGCTCGGTGCCTATGGCTCAAGCGGCTAAGGCGCCAGCAAGGTGGCGGGTTTGAATCCCCAGCGCGGGCCCGCCAAACAACAATGATGGCTGCAAACAAAAAATGGCCGGGCGTTGTGGCAGGCGCCTGTAGTCCCAGCTACTTGGGAGGCTGAGGCAAGAGAATCGCTTGAGCCCAGGAGTTGGAGGTTGCTGTGAGCATGATGCCATGGCACTACCCAGGGGGATAGCTTGAGGCTCCGTCTCAAAAAAAAAAAAAAAAAAAAAAGAATTGAGGTGATAATAAAACATAATACTTTGAATTCCCAATTTACCCTAATGTATTTTTTTTACCCTATTTTATTTCTTAGGCTTCTGCCATAAATATTCTTTTAAACATATAAATCTTAATTATAAGAATTAAGTTTTTGAACAAGATGCCAAAAATCATTTAAGCTTTTATATACTAGGACAATAAATCCTAGTAAGAAATCAAATTTACTTATTAAAAAGGATTGTCTTTTAGCACAATGCCAAAACACTAAATAATAAACATTGCCACCATTTAAAAATATGCAGTGCTGTAATATTAATAAAACCAGGCTCAGCGCCCATAGCTCAGTTGAGTATGGTGCCAGCCACATACACCAAGACTGCCAGGTTCGAGCCTGGGCCGGGCCTGCTAAACAAAAATGACAACTGCTGGGCGGTGCCTGTGGCTCAAAGGAGTAGGGTGCCAGTGCCATATGTTGGAGGTGGGGGGTTCAAGCCCAGCCCCAGCCAAAAACTGCAAAAAAAAAAAAAAGAAAAAAAAAAAAGAAAATAGCCGGGCATAGTGGCAGGCGCCTGTAGTCCAAGGCAAGAGAACTGCCTAAGCCCAGAAGTTGGAACTTTCTGTGAGCTTTAATGCCACAGCATTCTACCGAGGGCGTAAATTTAGACTGTCTCTATTAAAAAAAAAAGAAAGAAAAAAAAGACAACAGCAACCAAAAATATCCGGGTGTTATGGCAAGCGCCTGTAATCCCAGATACTTGGGAGGCTGATTCTAGAGAACAGCTCAAGCCCAAGAGTTTGAGGTTGCTGTGAGCTGTGACAACACCATGGCAATCTACCCAGGGCCAGATAGTGAGATGGTCTCTTTAAAAAAATACAAAAAAACATACTGACAACGGGGTGTGGTAGCTCCCACCTGTAATCCTAGTAATCAGGGAGGCCAAGGACAGGGTGGATTGCCTTAGCTCACAGGTTCAAAACCAGCATGAGCTAGAGCAAGATTCACCAAGGGGGGGGGGGGCAACAGCCCGCTGTTGTAGTGGTCGTCTGTAGTCCCAGCTACCTGGTAGACTAAAGCAAAAGAATTGCTAGAACCCAAGAGTTTAAAGTATCTGTGAGCTAAAATGCCAAGGAACTCTATCTACCAAGGGTGACCAAGTGAGATTGGTCTAAAAAAACCAAAAAAATTGCCAAGGCATTGTTGCAGGCGCCTGTAGTCCCAGCTATCTGGGAAGCTGAGATAAGAGAATCACTTGAGCCCAAGAGTTTGAGGTTGCTGTGAGCTGTGACACCACAGCACTCTACTGAGGGCGACATAGTGAGACTGTATCAAAAAAAAAAAACCAGAGTGGCTTCAAGTTAGAACATATGCTAAGACAGCTGCTCCAATGGTTTTACCTGTTTTTCAAAAATATTACCAATAATACCTCTGACAGAACTCACCGCAATCATATTATCTGAATAAATTTGATTCCAATACATAATTAACAAACAAAGCTAAGGATAAAACAGTACATTAGAAATTATGGTAATTAGAATAATTTAAGGAAGTAACAGAAATAGTCTAATGAACAAAAGTTAAGGCTGTACGTTCTATAGATCATAAAATGATGACTTGTTAGAATTATAACTGCTTTTGCTTCTTAATACTTTCCCTCAAAAGAAAAATAAATTTTGCTTTCATAAAGCTTTGTTTTCAAATAAAACAAAAATTCTAAAATAACTGATGTCAAATTCTACAGCGGAAAGTAGAAACTTTCAGGCCTCAAAAATGAAGACTACTCTGTGTAGTTTATCATAAAAAAAAAAAAGTGGCCAGGTGTGGTGGCTCACATCAGTAATCCTTATACTATAAAAGGCTGGGGCAGAGTGTCTGCTTGAGGCCGTAAGTTCAAGACCAGCCTGGGCAAGGTAGCTAAGACCCCATATCCACAACAAAAATTTAAAAAAATAGGCCCAGGGCTCGGTGGCTTATGCTTGTAATGTTAGTACTCTAGGAGGCTAAAGCAGTTGATCACATGCCCTCAGGAGTTGAGCCTGAGCAAGAGACCCCGTCTCTACTAAAAATATAACAACTTTGGGCAGCACCTGTGGCTCAGAGAGTAGGGTGTCGGCAGCAGGCTGGAACCCGGGCCCGACCAAATTGCAACAAAAATACACCCAGGTGTTGTGGCAAGCACCTGTAGTTCCAGCTCCTCAGGAGGCTGAGACAAGAGAATCACCTAAGTCCAACAGCTGAACGTTGCTGTGAGGTGCGATGCCACGTCACTCTACTGAGGGCAACAAAGTGATTAATCTGTCTCTAAAAAAATCAAAACAATAGAAGAACTAGATGGGCATTGCAGAAGTATCTGTTGTTCCAGCTACTCAGGAGGCTGAGGGGAAAAAAAAAAAAAAAAAACAACACAAAAAAACCTAGAACAACTGAAGAGGCTCAGTGACAATACAGTGGTTATGGCACCAGCCACAAACAGAGGCTAGTGGATTTGAGCCCGGCACGGGCCTGCTAAACAACAATGTCACAACTACAACCAAAAAATAGCCGGGTATTGTAGCAGGTGCCTACAGTCCCAGCTTCCTGGGAGGCTGAAGTAAGAGAATCTCTTATGCTCATGAGTTTGAGGTTCCTGTGAGCTGTGACACCACAGTACTCTATGGAGGGCAATATAGTAAAACTGTCTCCAAAAAAAAAAAACCGAAGACTTAGTTTTCCCACATTGTCAAATTTACTATAATTATGTACTATGACTACTAAGAAACTACTATAGAAACATTCCACTTCAACTTGAACCAATGCAGAACACAGTGTATCTAATTAGAAAACCATCTATTTCTTTTTAAAATCTAACAAAAAAAAAGAACTCAATACAACTCTCTCAATTTCTAGAAAAATATATATTTACATCTTGGCTATTAAAGAACAAGATATATTTTTTCATATACACTCACTTGTATAAACAATTTCTCACATTCCTATATGAATTATGATATCAAACATGCACCACAGCAAAATGCTCTTGTCTGTAAAGTTGCATACATGCTTCATAATTAAAAACAAGTAATAATAGCTCGCTTTATAAATGCCTTCAATCTATGAAATGCATATGCAACTTAGTATAAACCTCTTAGTGCTTGCTATGGCCTTAAATAAATCACTGAAATAAGAGTACCATAGCTTAACTAAAAAACGTTAGCCCTGCCTGTACTGTGATTTCTAACCTTATATTAAGTACACTCACACATTACTATGTTCTGAAAAGACTATAGTCTATAAAAGGCAAGAATGAAGAGATATTATTTCCACACTTCTACATAAAACTTAACACTCAAAACACACAGATGAGCATGAAACAAACATAGTGCTGAAATTTTTAATTAAAGTAAAGCAAAGAAAAAAAAGTACGACTGTTTTATTTATACATTTGATGGTTTTCCGATGTCTTCTGAAATATAGATCATTATTTATATATTATGTGCAATTCTTAAAACTGAGTCCAAATTACTATTACAAATGACAACTATATGTTACTAAATTTACTTTTATTTCAAAAAAATAAAATCTATAAACAGTTCAACTCACCTTCGGTCTGTTGGGAAAGTCTTGTTTGCAAATCTATAACAAAAGAGAATTCTACAGCTCAGTGCAGGAACAATGAAGAGCCTCAACTAACAGGGTAAATGTCAGGAAAGCATTAATAAAAGAGGACTACAGCAGCAGGGTTTATTCAAATGAGCTTAGTAAAACCTGGCAGCAAACCCTCCTTCCCCATTCCTCATTGACAAGGCTTTGGGGCCTTTTTCCTCTTAACCTAGCAAAAACTTAGGCCTCTCTCTTCCTACTCCTACTACTCTCCTATATATTAAGTGCATTCCACTATACTACTCTTCTGTTGGGAATAATGGGAAATGGGGAAAGGGGAGCACGCCGGTCAGAAAATGCGTGAAAAACCCTGATCTTGAGAATTCAATTCCAAGTACTTGGGAAATTCAAGTATTTATTTTACCAGTGGCAGTAACCATTTAATACTTTATGACTGTAAACTTTACACAACAAAAGGCTGTAAACATGTTCAATTATTTCCCAATTCAGGAGCAATACCAGCAATGGGAAGGACACCATTCCAACAACGTGCATATTTTATTTTTATGGGCATTTAAGATTGAATTAGTCAAGTTCAGCCCCCAAAGGGGCAATTTCATTAAGATTACGGTTATCCTAACCTAGTCTGATATTTTAGCAGGGCAGGAACAAAATCTATGAGGTTGTCTTATCATCTGTGATGTTCAAAAAATATATAAATATCTAGTCATTATTAAATTAACACAACATAGGTTTATAATAGTATTATTTTCTCTTATAATCATTAGCATGTCTATAGTGAAAGACATACAAAATGAAAGCTATTAGGGGTGAAAATAGCAGCCACACCTGACTAAAGAAATGTCACAATGCTGTAAAAGCTACCTTGAAATTAAAAAGTTATAGAAATACAGAATATATAAATTATTTAGATTCAGTAACCTAACTCATTAAAATGTTAAAGACACTTTAATACCACATGGTTTTTCTTAGTGAGGACAGAAAATGATCATAATATATGGGCAAAGACAAATGGATCTGGATCTGTAGCCCAAGTTATACTGGATATACTACCTGGGTCTTAGGTGTTCAAAAATGGCATCTCAGGGAGCTGAAGAAATATAACTGGTGTATACTGAAGGAACTTGAAGATATGACCATAGGAACACTGTCAATAAATTTTAAATTATAACAATGTCATTTTTTTCCTAAAATGGGGAAAAAATGTATAGATATCAGAAATCCATGCTCTATTAAGTGTATACAAGCTCAATCCAAATTCCAAAAATGATTTTTTCAGGTCACTGGAGGAAAGCATGGGCATTATGTCAATATAAGAACTCAAAACTATTTTTTTTTTGGAGGGCTGTCTTACTTTGCCACCCTTGGTAGAGTGCCGTTGTGTCATAGCTCACAGCAACATCAAAGTCTTGGGCTCAAGTGATTCTCTTGCCTGAGCCTCCCAAATAGCTGGGACTACAGTGGCACACCACAACGCCCAGCTAAATTTAAGAGACAGAGTCTCACTCTTGCTCAGGCTGGTCATGAACCTGTGAGCTAAGGCAATCTACTAGTCTCGGCCTCCCAAGTGCTGGGATTACAGGCATGAGCCACCATGCCCAGCAAACTCTAACCAAAGGGTCCAGTAAAGGGCGGCCCCTGTGGCTCAGTGAGTAGGGCACCAGCCCCCTATATAAAGGGTGACGGGTTAGACCCCGACCCCAGCCAAACTGCACCAAAAAATACCCCAGCGTTGTGGCGGGCACCTGTAGTCCCAGCTACTTGGGAGGCTGAGGCAGGAGACTCGCTTGAGCCCAGGAGTTGGAGGTTGCTGTGAGCATGATGCCATGGCACTCTACCCAGGGGGATAGCTTGAGGCTCCGTCTCAAAAAAAAAAAAAAAAGAAAAGAAAAGAAAATAGAGACCACTATCAGTAATCCACAAGCTTTAAAATTCTAGTTAAACACAATCAGATAATGTCAATATAAACTACTCAATGAGAACCCAGCCAGCCAGTCATACATCACAAGGAAATAATGGCTGATCATTTTGATAATGTTTAACAGTGAAAATCTTCCATTCCCTAAAGATATAATTGTATCAGGAGTAACATATTTGACATAGCATGAGCTTACAACATTGCTACTTTAGAAATAACTTCCACGTGACTGTACTAATTCCCTGAAAGCAGGGTAAGAATCATGTTCATCAGCCTCTAGAAGAATACCTAGAATAATGGATAAAAACATTTTCTTAATTATAAAAAACCAACCTGAACAATGGTAAATACAGGTGGACATTGTCAGATAACTTTCAATCTGTTAAAATAGGGTATATTTCCTGAAATTATAAATTCAGTATCCTTGTTTAAAAGAAAAACTTTACGATTGTTTATTCACTATGAAGAACTGAACTACTAATGGCCAGACACAGGAACTCATACTGATTGATAATCCTAAGACTTTGGGAGTTAAAGATAAGAGCATTCCTTGAGGTTGTGAGTTCAAGACCAATGTGGGCAAATTAGTGAGACCCTTTATCTAAAACAGTGTTAACCAGGTTTAGTTAATCCCAGCTACTTAGGGGGCAACAGCAGGAAGACTGCTAGAGCCCAGGAGTTGGATGATGTATTAAGCTGTAATGGCACTACTACCCTCTAGCTGAGGCAAGAAGTTAAGACATAGCACATTAGAAAAAGAGACAGAGGGTGGCACCTGTGGGTCAAAGGCATAAGGTGCCGGCCCCATATAACAGAGGTGGCAGGTTCAAACCCAGCCCCTGGCCAAAAAAATAAGAGAGAGAGAACCCAATGGCTAATACAAGTTATCAAATGACTATTAAATGCAGAAATGCCTCCATGGTTATAACTTTTCTTCTCATAAGACTATGCTAAGATATTTGTCAGGAATTTTAAAGACTACATTTCAGATTTTAATATAAGTCATACAATCTGACAGAAAAGAGAGAAAACCAAAAAAGCAGGTTTTTTTTTTCTAAAACCTTTATTTTCTTTCCACAGTTCTTGGCGGGGGCCGGGTTTGAACCTACCACCTCTGGTATATGGGGATGGTGCCCTACTGTTTTAAGCCACAGGCGCTGCCCCGAAAAGCAGGTTTTTAAAATACACTTTTGGACAGTTACAAAATAGCCACACAATGAAAAACTCTCTTTTTTTTAGAGACAGTCTCACTTTGTCGCCCTTAGTAGGGTGCCGTGGTACGATAGCTCACAGCAACCTCCAGCTCTTGGGCTTAGGTGATTCTCTTGCCTTACCCTCCCGGGTGGCTGGGACGACAGGCGCTCAGCACAACGCCCGGCTATTTTTGTTGCAGGTTGGCCAGGGCCGGGCTCAAACCCGCCACCCTCAGTATAAGGGGCCGGTGCCCTACTCATTTAGCCACAGGCGCCACCCAAACTTTTCTCTTAAAAAAGAAATAATACAATAATAAAAATTATGCTCTCCTTTAATTAAATCAGCTTTCAATCTAAAAGGAGAAAATGAAGAAAGCACATGGACCTGATGATATGTTCTATGCAGTACCATGGTCTTATACAGATGTTTGCATACTTATCACTTTGAACTTAAGATAAAAAGGACCAATTTGAAATAAAACCTACCACACTTTCTAGGGATAAGTATTTTCTGTCCTCCAAGATGAAAAATACCACATTATTTTAAGACATTTCGGTATTAAATCCTCTCCTAACCCATACATCTCAGTCAACATCAAGGTCTATAAAAGCAAGTTTCAGGTAATTAAATTAGGCCCTAAGAGTAGAAACCAGTATTTTATGAAGTGAATCAATTAAATGTTATAATCTTATTCCATCAATTTGGCTCCCGTTTCAGACCCTCCAAGAATTCTATTCCCTACCTTAAAATTTCAAAATTGGACATTATATTTAAGGAAGCAGCTTTCTTTATACTTTTGGTAATAAAATATTTTTAATAAAGTATTATTTAAGGGACACTTGGTGTACACTGTAACATCACAAAGAAAACTTTATATCAAAATATAAACCTTGTAATAGTCAATGAAAGTGATATATTTAAAAATATATAAACTTACTGCAATTTCAACTGCAAATAAAGGTGGAAGGTTCAAAAAAACTGTGACACCTTATTCTGAGTACTACATAATATTACGTATGTGTATATGTATCTACTTCCTTATATGAACTCTAGAAATGTGTAAGTACTTGATGAATTGAATTCTCAGTAAGTCCTTTTAAATGCAAAAATTTGGCAAATTTTCGAATTAGATGAAAATACAATGATTTCAAATTAGAAAAGATTCAATTCCTACCTGCCACAGCACCAAATGCCAAAGAGCCACTCATTTGTAGAGCCTGCTGTGCTGCTGGTGGAATCTGCAAACCTGTACCTGTAAAAGAATTATGTCTTGAGTAAGCCGTAGTATGTTCAAGAATAGAGAACTCAAATTTTCTGGGTCCATATACTAACCATGACCTTATCACTAAAATAAATTACAAGGAGCACAGCTGAAACTAAATTTTATTCTTCAAAAACAGATATTAAAACTTAATGCCAGGAAGGCACTTCATCTGTGAAACTACGTATATTACATAAGAATCCTAACACCAAACAACATAAAATCTTGAATTTCTTAGCACGGTAGCCTTTTTCAACATACACAAAAAATAAATCATTCACAACACTAGGTAATACTTACCCTCTGCAAGTCTTGCCATTAATTGAAGACGACCAGTTGTTCCCAGGTCAATTCCAGTCCTTTCTAATTCATCGCTGTCCAAAAATGAACTAGCACTAGAAGCATCAGTACGTTCAGTAACATGACCAACTTTCATTGGCCTTCCGGCTAATTCGAATCCATTAAGTTGTTCCAAAGCCTTTTTGGCACATTCTGAGTCTGAAAACTGTAAGATGGCAGAGAGGGGAATAAAATGAGTATATTTATTTATATATACAAAGAAAAAATGTTTACATGTTAAATCTAGCATTAGGTGAGAAATAGAAATTTCAAGTTATAAATAACCAACAGAACTTACATGACTACATTAGCTCATGCAAATTAGTTTTGCTGCTGTAGTAGTTTAAATTACAGAAAAGTGGGCAAGGTGATTTGTGTCTGTAATCCCAACTACACAAAAGGCTGAGGCAGAGGATAACGTGAAGTCAGGAGGTTAGAAAACTACCGGAGCCCCACAGCTGTCTGCACAAAAAATAAAATTAGCTGGGTCAGATGGCTTGTGCCTATAGTGCTAGCTGATCAGACAAACCTATTAAGATCACTTTAGCCCAGAATTTTGAAGCTGCAATGGGCAATGATTGTGCCACTGCACTACAGCATAAGTTTCAGAGAGGGAAAAAGAGACCCAGTCTCCCTGACACACAAAAATTAATTCCAGGATGCAGAAATAAAATTCTAATCCGTACTACTTTTATTTTCTGATGAAAAAGACACAGTCCCATCATTTCAATGTGCAACAATACAGGTCTGCAACAATCTGCAACAACACAGGTACAGGCTCACACCTACAATCCTAGCACTTTGAGAGGCTGAGGTGGGCAAACCACTTGAGCTCTGGAGTTCAAGACCACACTAAGCAAGATGAAGACATTGTTTCTCTTAAAAAATAGAAAAACTGGGCTCAGTGCCTGTGTCTCAAGCTTCTAAGGCGCCAGCCACATACCCCCGAGCTGGTGGGTTTGAATCTAGCCCAGGCCCGCCAAACAACGACAGCTGCAACCAAAAAATAGCCGGGTGCTGTGGCAGGTGCCTATAGTCCCAGTTACTTGGGAGACAGAGGTAGGAGAATCACTTGAGGCCAGGAGTCAGAGGTTGCTATGAGCTGTGATGCCAGAGCACTGTACCCAGGGAGACAGCTTGAGGCTCTGTCTCAAAAAAGAGAAAAAAAGAAAAGGAAAACTAGCCAGGTGTTGTGGCAGGCACCTACAGTCCTAGCTACTTGGGAGGCTGAGGCAAGAGGATGGCTCATGCCCAAAACTTTGAGGTTACTCTGAGGTATGTTACTGTGGCATTCTACCTAATGTAATAGAGTGACACTCAATCTAAAAAAAAATTAAGTAATTAATAAGTTTCTGTTACTCAAATAGGAACTATAGACAGTAGTTACCAAACATAAAACATAATGTAGTAAATTTAGTATAATACAGATTGCTATGCCTATAGCAGATAGCTCATCATTCTTTCAGTAAATTTAACTTGCCTCCTAATAAAACTAAAGTTAATAAAAACAAAATAAAATACCAGTGAGTAATGTGTTAAAAATAATTTGTCTCCTTTCACCAGTATACTATTAAGAGAATGTCTATCAAAACATCAACAGGCTTCCATTTCATTCAAATATGGACATAAAGCAATTACCATTTCCCTAAAGAGATGTACATTTAAAATTAAAAAAGTTTCTAGGGGCTTGGCGCCTGTGGCTCAATCGGCTAAGGCGCCAGCCACACACACCTAAGGTGGCGGGTTCGAATCCCCAGCCCGGGCCCGCCAAACAACAATGATGGCTGCAACCAAAAAATGGCGTTGTGGCGGG